GATGCAAGTGGTTATGCACTAGGAGGAGTTCTCATGCAAAAAGGACAACCTATTGCATATGAGAGTCAAACTTTGAATCCTGCGGAGCAACGTTATTCCATATATAAGTAAGAGTTACTCTTCATTGTTCATACTTTGCAGACGTGGCAACACTATCTTTATGGTGTAGTGGTCACAGTGTTGACAGATCACAAACCCCTTATATATTTTTTCACACAAAAAGAGTTGAATACTAGGTAAGCTCATTGGATGGTCAAACTCATGGAGTTTGGGGAGTTTCTTATTGAGCATTATCTGGGAAAATTGAATATGGTGGCAGATGCTTTATCTTGTGTTTGCCATGTAATGACATTACAAACATGGTTCTATTATCATTTGAGTAAGGTGGTTAGCAAGTTTGGGCAATTAGTTGAGCGTGCTCAAGCTCAGGATGTTGAGGTGGTCTCGTTGCAAGCCCAGATAGAAGCACCTTTCTCATTGGTGGATGGGATTCTTTACTAAAATGGCCATGTGTATTTGCCACGGGTGGATGCATTAATTACTCAAGTTTTATTCCACTATCATGATTGTTCAAAGGCTGATCATTTTGGGGGGAAGAAGATATATGAGTTGATTAAGCATAATTTTTATTAGAGGAATATGAAGGCTAATATCCTTGAGTACTGTAAGTCATGTGAGCTCTATCAATAGGTAAAGGTGCCACAGGAGAAGCCAAGGGGACTTTTGCAACATTTACTTATTCCTTAGAGCCATTAGTGTAGTATCTTTATGGACTTCATCATTTGTTTGCCATAAACACAGAAGCAAAAGGAGCAAGTATGGGTCATAGTGGATCGCTTAACGAAGTATGTGCGGTTGTTGGCTCTTCAAAAGAGTGTCACTGCCTTAGACTTGGTTGCGGTCTACTTGGAGAAGGTCTTTCTTGATTTTGGTTTGCCAGAGGACATCGTTAGCAATTGAGATTCAAAGTTCACTAGTGGATTTTGGAAGAGTTTTGCAAACGCTATGCAAGTGACTCTAAAACTCTCAAATGGAGATCATCCTTAAACAGATGAGTAAACCGAGCATGTGAATCAAGTGGTGGAGGATATACTACGTTGTAGCATTGATCAAAAATAGGGATAGTGGGATCTATATCTTCCATTGGTGCAATTTGCCTACAACAATAGCTAACACAGTGAAACCAAATTAAATCTTTACTTTGCAATGTTTGGAAGGCATCCTCAAACAGCGGTGGAGCTGGAATTGCATTTGAGTAAGGATGCTTAAGAAAAGCTTGATTCAGAGGTGACTAATTTGGCTACGGAACTTGATGAAATTCTAGTGGTGTGCAAACAGAATTTGCAAATAGCTCAGGATAGAGCGGAGAAGTTTGCTAATGAGCATCGCCAATTCTGGGAATATAAAGTGGGTGATCTTATCTTTGTGCGAGTGATCTTTTTATCAAATGAGCAGTAGAACACTTTAGTGCCTTTGTGGAATGGGAAGAGTGATAAACTTTTTCATTGGTATGCTAGTCTATATGAAGTGCTGGAGCACATCAGTAGGTGGTTTATTGAGTGTGGCTACCAGCTGGGGTGAAAATTCATTTGGTATTTTATGTTAGCCATTTGAAAGGTGTATTATCTTGGAGTGACGAGCCCAATGCCTCTTTAATATATATGATATATGACTGTGGAAGATGGATCAGGAGCTTGAGCTTTTTTTCTGCAGGCTATTTGCAAAAGAACACCCACAAGGTGTATGACCTGTTTAGTATTTGCACACATATCAATTTTGTTAAATTTATATTCTTTATTTTTCCACAATACCTATCTTTTATGGCTTCAGTTAAGTTATAGTCATTTACACCTTTGAGTATTTCTTCAATTTAGGCACTATATTTTTGGTTTGCTTAAGCAAACCAACATAGGATATACCTGGGTATTCTTGAATATTCTATAATTTAATTGTTGATATTTATTTAGAATAATTTTGTGTTTATAAATTAAAAACATTTTAATAATGGTCGTCACGTTGACTACATATAGTTGACCGACGGTTTCGGCAAAAAGTTGTTCTAATTTATTTTCAAAGCTTTTAAATCTGAGAACTACAAATTCAATGTTTGGACGTGTGTTTGCAGGTGTGATTTTGTGGCGAGGAAGCAGGAGCAACAGGAGGTCCTCCAGACAAGCTAACTTCTCAAGTTTAACCAGTTGCCACCTCCATGCAAGGGTACTTTCCATGAGCTCAAAGGGTAGAGGGCTGGCTCTTGTTTCTCATACCTGAAAAGTGTATCCATGAAATATACATATCCTCTTGTAGTTTCTCTTCTAAATAGAAGACAAGTGCCTGAGGTTGTACATATCGAAGTACAAACCAAAGAAGCAGATCAATGGATCTCCCCGCAAGGCGTCAATCAGCAGTCGAATGAGGCGAGCAGCACATACTTGATCCTCTTCCAGTCGATCCACTTTCCTGTAACCAATGGTGCTACCGTTGCTCACCAGGTACCAGCCCAGCTCGCTGTCGCATGCCTCGACGAGATATTCCATGACCCTTTGTCCCATGTTTACTGGCTCTCGGATGTCCAGTGCGTTGAACTTTGAGACCTTGCCAAGATCAAGCTCGATCCAGCCGGTCGACTCCCCTTGCATTGGAGCCCAGAAAGTTTCCATACGCTCGTCAAGGATTTGCTTCGGCCCGAACGAAGAGCTGCGAACGCTGCTTGCTGTCACGGACAAGGGATTCGCTGCTAAGTTGACGCTCAAGATGGAATCTATGGCGGAGCTAAACCGCTCCAGCGTCTGGAAGTCGGATTCGTCGATCAGTCCCGACGAGTTTGGAGGGACGTTGAGCAGGAGCAAGCAGTTCCTGGCGGATGATTTGTAGAAAACGTCGAGCAGCTGCTCCAGGGATTTTGGAGCCTCGTTCCTGTGCCAAAACCAACCGGGCCTGATGGAGATATCACACTCCGGAGGGAGCCAGTCGGTTCCAGCACTCTCTCCAGACATCAAGTACCTGTCGATGTTGCGAATTGGATCGAGTTTCACGAGAACGAAAGTCTCATGGAAGGATGGATTTTACGTACTGGCCATCGCTCCTGCCGATCGTAATGGAAGATCTGTTCGCCATCGCCCAGCATGGTTGTCCGGCCTCGCCATACTCGTTCCCAACCCATCGGATGTCGGGGCCAGTGTCGGAAAAGATGTTGCCACCGGGGATGAATCGTGTCAAACCAGAGCTCAAAATCGTAGCTCATGTTCATTGCAGTGGGTGATTTCGCACCATCCAGCCACACCTCGGAGATCGGCCCATATCTGCACGCCAAAACAGAATGCCGCGTCAAGGCATCTGCTGCTAGAGATGAAAACTACAAAAGCCCACAAGCTCGCGAGCTCCTAATGCTAAAACCGTTTGATGGGCTGGAGGAAATGCAAATATATCACACAGTGACCATGCCACCAAGAAAAATGCGTGAAGAAGAAGAAGCAAAGAATGTCTCACTCACCCAGTAAGAAGCTCTCGGAGCTGAGCCAAGTAGAACTCGTTGTAGAGAAGAGTGTCGCCATAGCAGCTCTCGTGCAAATCCCATGGCGAGAGGTAAAAGCCACATCCACGTCCAATCCACGCTCCCTGGCGGCGGCCACGAACTCGGCCACCACATCCCCCTTCCCTCCTCGCGCTAGCCACGGAGAAATTGGTGTAGGCCGAGGGCCACAGGCAGAACCCGTCGTGGTGATTGACCGTGAGGATCACGAGCTGCGCGCCCGCGGATTGAGCCGCGTCCATCCACTGCGACGCATTAGATCGCTCCGGGTTGAAGATGGAGGGCGATTCGTGGCCGGATCCACGCTCCGAGTCCGTGAATGTGTTGACGCCGAAGTGGAAGAGCGGCGCGAGTTGAACTGGAGCTGGCGCCATGAGGGAATTGGGCGGAGAGGGGCGAATTTAGGGCGACAGCTCTCAAGAACACTAGTATCTCGAGGAGCAAGAAAGAGAGATGGAAATTCATTGCTATAGAGAATGGAGGAGAGAGCCAATCTTATAAGCCCAGTGGAGTAGAGGAATTCTCACCAGAGAGTAAAATCTTTGCTTATCTTCTTCTTCTTAGCCGTGATCTCCAAGCTAGATTGGAATGTTCTTTCTCCGTCCAGGATTCTCAAGAGCTGTGGAGGTCGCGCCCGGATTCTCGCAAGGAATACCTCGCGAATCGCGAATGCGTGTGAGATCCAGCAAAGTTTATGGCATTGCTCTTCCCCAATTTCGTGATTTCCACAGACACCTCAGAGGATTGCTTGCTCTCCTGGGGAGCACTGCTCAAGAACTGCCGGGATCTGTCACGGGGGAGGCAAATCCACGCCCGCATTGCGCAGAGCGAGCACCGCCGCAACAAATACCTCGCGAATCTGCTCGTCCAGATGTATGGCAAATGCGGCAGCGTCGATGACGCCCGTGCAATCTTGGAATCCATAGAGAATCCTAAGCTCTTCTCCTCCAAAATCATGATCCAGGCCTACGCACAGGCGAAAGATCTAAATCGAGCGCGCAGAACGTTCGATGGGATGCTCCGGCGAGATGCCTCGACGTGGAACTCGATCGTCACGGCATATGCCGACAACGGGCATCTTGATAAAGCGCGAGAGATTTTCGAATTGGCTCCAGAGAAGAGCGAGATCTCTTGAAATGTGATGATCACGCTTTGCATCCGCAGTGGAAAGATAGCTTCTGCCAAGGATTTGTTTGATCGGATGCCCGTGAAGACGATCGTTGCGCAGACTGCCCTCGTCACAGCATTGGCCAGGAAAGGGCATTTGGAAGAAGCCGAGGCTTTGTTTGAGAACATAAAGGAGGAGCGCGATGTAGAGTCATGGGCTTTTGGCTCTCGCTGTCTACAGACAACTCCAACCGAACAGCAAATGCAGGTTGGGCAGTCTTTTTCTCTTGAGTTGATACAAACGAACACTTTCTGGCGACAGGGAACTGCATTTGAGGTGAAAAGGCTACTGATTGCCGGAAAGCAGAAAGAGGCGTTACGTGCTCAAGACGGGCAACTTTGGGGATGTGCTCTTCTTATGGCCCGGCAGCTGGGAGAGAAGGTACCTTGTCTTGTAGCTTTGATGTATAGACCGTTAGTGATGGTCTTGTGGTTTTTAATAGTTCTACACCGACACTATAGCGGAGATGGCTCAACGTCAGTTTCAACCAGGGTTTCCCCTCCGGACTCTTATCTCTTCTTTATGCTGGTCAACATGCCGGAGTGTTCATAGGGAACACTAATTCGTCGAACGTAACAGCGCTTCAATCTCAACCGGTTCCAGCGTCCGCTGTAGATGGTGCAACACAGGTGAAATACTTTTATCAAGCTACTCTCTTGCTTAAGGAGTGCATGTTGACTTGCAGGACGCAGTAGAAGGAATGCTCGAAGAATGGCAGGAAAACCTGGCTATAATGGCAGCTAACCGAACTAATGGGTACGAGAGAGTGATTATGCATCTTGGTGATTGTCTCTGGAGACATCGAGATGAGGTATATACATGGTCACACTTTGATGTTTCTCATAGTTTTAACTTGCAGATATGTGGAGCCCATATTTGCTATCTTCTTGCAAATGCTAGTTTTGAGCCTTTCTCCCCTTCTGCCAGACTTTGTCTTATAGGTGCCGACCATTGTAAGTATCCACGCACGTACGCTAGTCCAGAAGCTATCCAGGTAAGCCGTGTTTGTCCTCAATAACAATTGTTAACCTTTTCTTCATCAGCGAATGGAAGTGTACGAATTTGCAAGAGTGACCGGCAATTCCCAGTTTATTTTACTTCCTTTTCAGCCATACAAGCTTATTTATGCGTCGATGCTTGCTGAAGCTGGAAAGATAAACGAAGCTTTAAGGTTGGTAGTGATTTTTAACTGTATGCTTCGTTAACACAAGGTTTCTCTTCGAAGGTATTGCCAAGCGGTGTTGAAAACATTGAAAACAGCGGGCCATGCAGCTGATGTGTGCAAAGAAGCGGCTGTAGCCTTGGAAGAGCGTCTTCGTATCCACTCTCAGGTTTGTAAGCAGACACTCGGGCTTTTATACTCACTTTCCTGTTATCCAGGGAGGCTTGACGTCAATTGTGCAACGGTTTTTTGGTAATATTGGTCTACACAAGATGATAGGCCCTTCGCCCCCGAAAGCTTCCGATAATGCTGATATTAATAACCGTCCTGCAACAGCTTCTAGCAGAAGCAGTGTATCACTTGCCTCGTCAGCATCAATGGAACCCATAAGTGATAATACGAGAAGATCCAACATGCCAGCGAAAAGCATTTCTGAGCCTGACTTTAGGCCTGCACAGGTAACTCGACTTGCTCTTGTGTACCTTATTAAGACTTGTATTCTTTCATCAGATCGTTAGTCCAGCGAAAGGAATGCCAAACAGAGGCGTCTTTACTTCTTTCGTGCAAAGAGCGATGGGCTTCATAAAAACACCATCGAAGGAGGTTTGTAGAAGCTTTGGAAAGAGCGCTAGCTGATTGATGGTCGGGTATGTGATGCAGGCAAAGCTTGGCAACAGCAACAAGTTTAGATACGACGAGACACTGAAGCGCTGGGTTGAAGAAGGAGCCGAGGCACAAGCGCCAGACCTTCCGTTGGCTCCTCCTCCCACGGCAAACAAGCTCGTCTCGCGCGTGGAGGAGAACGGCGCTCCTATTTCCATGTCTCCAGAGAGACCACAGCCAACTCCAGAAAGGCCGCAACCGGTTGTGAGTGGAATCCCACCAATGCCTCCGAGCAGTAACCAGTACGCAGCTCGCGCACGTCAAAACGTTAGATCAAGGTACCGTTTTGGTCATTCCCAGCACTCCAATCTCACGAGGTTTTTGCAGATATGTCGATACATTCAACAAAGGTAGCGTAACACCATCCAAGACATCATAGGACTCTCCTCCACTGTTTGGCGTGGTGCCAAAGGCAAGCGCAAAGCCTTTGGCTCCAGCGAGATTTTTCGTGCCTGCAGCCGCTGCTGCCGCTGCTCCAGATATCAACAGCAACCATTCGGTGGATCCTTCCTCAGCACCGGACTTTGTCTCCGACACGGCGTTCTCAAACGGGAATGGAGCATTCGCTCAGCCGTTTGTACAGGATATGAGAAACGATCCGGGGCCAACGCCTGATCATCTCTCGAGCAGCTCTTCGCCAGCAATGTTCTATTCGAATCACTATCCAGCAGCACCGTCGACCGTCTCGTTGCCGCCACCTCCAGCTCTGGAAGTCACTCCGCCAGTGATGGTCGAGCAGCAGCAGCAAAACCAACACCAGGAAAGTTCGATTCATCGGCACCACCATCAACAGTCCGGCACAGTGGGATTCGAAGCTGCCAGTTCCTCCGGAGTGTTTGGAGACGACTTGCAAGAGGTGGAATTGTAAATCACACTCCACAAGTAGTGTTGCTGGGTGGATTTTGGTAGAGCAGTGTAGCGAAGTAGTAGTCGTGGAAGGAGGAATTTTTTTTGGCTGGGGTGATTCTTTGGAGCCACGAGCGAAGCGAGGAAGGTCCTTAAAGTTGCTAGAGAAAGGAAACTCTTTACAGTGTAACAAATAAAAGCAAAGGCCTTGTGATGAATATACCTCGAATAATCTCCCGGATTTAAAACATGGCGCGCGTAGCTCACAAGGCATCGTCTTGGTGGGATAAAACGCTGGTTGTCTACGCGCGGTGTGGGCATTTGGAGGAATCGAGAAGGATATTTGATGCATTGCCGGCCAAGAACATCGCGTCGTGGACGGCGCTCGCGACCGCGTATGCCGAGAGTGGGCATCCGGGGGAGGCCAAGGCAGCGTTCGATCGAATGGCGGTGTGGGACGTAGTTTCCTCCACTGCGATGGTCAAGGCGCTGGGCGATTGCGGGCGGATTGGATCAAGCAAGGCGGTGTTTGATGTGATGCCCGAAAGGAACTGCAAGACGTGGGCGACGCTGCTGCGGGGATTTGCTCGCGGCGGAGAGATTGGGCGAGCGAGAGAGGTGCTGGATCGGATGCCCGAGACGAATGTGGTAGCGTGGACGATCCTCGTGCAGGGATTCGCGCAGCGCGGGCGAGTGGGTGATGCGAAGGCCGCGTTTGATTCCATGCCCGAGAAGAACAGCATCACTCGCGCGGTGATGCTCGTCATGTTTGCGGAGAATGGATTCATGGAGGAGGCGGAGGATGTCTTCCAGGAGATTGTCCACCGAAACGCGATCCTCTGGGGGGCGATGCACTGCTGCTATGCCCAAAATGGGGATTTGATTCAAGCCAAGAGTTTGTTTGATAGGATGCCTCAGCACAGCGTACTTTCGTGGACGATTATGATCAAGTCATACGCGAAAAACGGTGATGCTGATCAAGGAAAACAATTGTTTGAAAAAATGCCACGCAGAGATCTTGTTTCATGGAACGCGATAATCGCTGTTTATGCCCAGAGAGGTCGTTTCAAAGAGGCGATCCGGGCGTTTTCTTTGGTTTGCTGCTGGGATTCCTATTCATGGAACACAATTCTAGTGGTATATGCTCTAGATGCAAATATTCGTGATGCTAAGAAAGCGTTCGATGAGATGCCAACTTGGAACTTGGTCTCCTGGAACACGATTCTTGCAGCATATGCCCAAACCGGGCATGCGTATTCTGCGATCCAGCTCTTTTGGGCGATGTTTCTTCACGGCTTTGACCCCGACAAGGCAGCGTTTGCCATCGTTTTGACGGCGTGTAGCCATCTGGGGCTCGTCAAGGAAGCAGTAAGCTACTTCACGGCAATGAGCTTTGACAATGGATTGGATCCTTCGCAAGACCACTACACCTGCATTGTTGATGCTCTCGGACGACTAGGGCGATTGAAAGAGGCCGAGGGTGTCCTAGAGAATATGCCTTTGCCAGCAGATGGAGTTGCATGGGCAACGTTTCTTACCGCATGCAAAAACCACGGGGAGATGAATCGAGGGATGCATGCTGCGGAATTTACGTGCCAGTCCAGCCTTGTGAGTGATGCATTGCCTTATGTGATGCTGGAAAACATCTTCAGAGCAGTTCAGACTTGATTCTTCACTGTTTTGATGTGTTGACCCAAACATCAATCGTTGATATCCAGCCATTCCGTGAGCCGCCCCATCCCCCATGGATGGAGAGCGGCACGCACAGAGATTGGGCATAGGAGAGTCTTCAGAAATCTATCTGGAGTGTTAAGTGCAGTGGGTTTGCTTTAGCCAGCAACGCGACCAATGCTGCTGTTGTGAATTTGAGCAGCAGCACTGCGCTTCTCCTGCTTCACATCAGTGCCATGCTAGGCGTGGCAATCCAGATTCTCAAGACCATGCCGGTGAGAGTCTATCATGAGCTCCTGTTGAAAGTGGGAAGTCGTGGTGTGAAAAGCTTGCGTTTGAGGCGCGGGTGGAGATGGGTCATTGATACCTCGTTCCCATTGCCTTCCTTGTATCCTATCTCCCTCATTGCCTCCCGACATGCTTCATATGTTCTCCTCTCTGAGTCCCATATGTTATCCTCTCCGCTGGGCCTCAGCCCATTCTTGATATTTACGAAGGCTCCATTGGATGTTGATACAGAGAATTAAATTTAAAGACAATTGGCCCACTTTTATGATGGGCTTAATCTATGTTGAATGGATTGCTCTTTGCAAAGCATGTATGCAAGGCGATTTTACAAGGAAATTTATCAAATCTTCCGCAAAGTCAATGCCATACCTGTCAAGAACCAAATCCTTGGAGAGCTTTAGGAATTAGTATAGGGATATATAGGGATGCATAATGAAGGATAGTTAAGTAATTTGATGATGAGAAGTTTGACATGGCGCAAGCAGAGTGTGCCTCTCAAGGCATCCAAATCTATGTTCTAGCTCCCATTTGGAAATAAGAAAGATTACAAGTGCCATTTCCTACTCATCCATTCCCTTCGAAAACTTTCTTTCTATTCTGCAGGGTGGAGTTTTATATATAATGTTGTTGTCACAAATAATTATAAAGCAAGTATAAGGGAATATTGCTTCTTCAATGGCAACTAGCACTTTGTAAAATGTTTTGTGACCAACTATTCCCTTCTCATGGAATATAAGTATATGAAAATTTTCAAAACTATCATGTTGGAGTACAATCTTAATCATTCTTAAACTCTTAGGAATACTAGACTCAACTCTTCAGTTCCCTTTAATCTTTCAGTCTAGCATCATTCCAAATCCAGGATTGGTATTCAGATTTAGAATATTGCACTAGTCTTTTGAGACAAGTTGTTTTGAATCATTAGGATCATCCTCTAGTGATTTCAATCTACATTGAGTTATAATTTAAATAGATTGCTACTTTGTCCTCTATGACATGCTAGATGGAGAAAAAGTGTTATATAAGATCATATTTTTTATGCATTCCCCAAGTATTCTTTACAATTCAAATATTTATTTTGATAGATTTTTTTCTGCAGGCTATTTGCAAAAGAACACCAAACATCTGATTGCATAAATAGACGATGATGGTCACATTAGCTTATGGTTTCCAGACATGCAAATGATTCTTTCACAAGGTGTATGACCTATTTGCACACATCATATTTTTATATTCTTTATTTTTCCACAATACCTATCTTTTATAGCTTCAGTTTTGAGTATTTCTTCAATGTAGGCACTATATTTTTGGTTTTCTTAATTTCTTAATAGACACTGCACATGTGACTATCACAGTCAAATTGTGATGGCCACATCAGCAATTTGAAATAACGTTGCCTTAGTATATGTCATCGTCACTATCATTTTTTTAATGGTGGCATTGTGATAGTGAAATCAATTTAAATGTTTTTCAAAACTAGCCCAGCTGGTTGACCACCATGAAACCTGCAATAGCAGGTTAAAATGCTAATGTGGTAATTATTTCCTCCCGCCACTATTGCTGACATGTCAATTCATGGTTTTAGGGTTTTGAGTAGAATGGAAGAGCAGCAGTTGAACGATTTGGAGATTGTGTTCTCCACTCAATGTCAGCAAGAGTTTCTATATGATGGTTCTCAATTCAGTAGGGGGAATTTTACTGCTCCCACTCCACCGAAGCCTCTGAAACCAACTAAAAATTGCTGGCTCTGAATGAAGCAAAGAAGCATGATTTCTTCTTACAGCAGCGAGGTAACATTTAGGAGAGGCACAAGACTACAAGCATTTATTGGCAGCAAGTTTCCGAGTAAGTTTTGGATATTTTAGACTTCCAGTCATTCACTAAGTTTTTAGCTACTATTTGACACATGGTGTCAACCATTTGCCTGGGCAATGCCAATCTTGTTGGGAGTATATCTACAAAGAGTTCAACAAAATCAAGTCATATGAATATCATGTTCCTATTGGCAAAAGCAGTATTGAAACATGACAACAGAGCAACATTGTGAAGCTGATTTACCACCAAAGTTCAATGATCAACTTTATGCAATGATGGACAAGTGGCTTTAGGACTGTCAAACTGTAAATTCACAGAGACAAATTTAGGAATCAATGTCTTCACTACTTACATCTCAACAATTACCATTACCGACACCAAGAGCTTCAAAAACAATCACTATTACCTCCATATGGAGAATTAGAGCCTAAAGGTATGTTTTGTAGTTTTTGTTTATAATCACTTTTGGCAATGACAGAAAACAACAATAATCCTGAAAAGCATAGTTCAGGCTAGTTGAGGAAGAAGTCCTGCACACAACTTGCAGAACAACTTGTAGGAGCACTATGTGAAAACAATGTGAGCCTCATTGATACAATGGAAAATAGCTAGAAGGAAATTTGTTATCATAATCTGAAGAAGGAAGAATTCATGGAGTGTACTCTGTTTTTGGATAGCCAAATGGTGAAGAGTATGGATTAAATAACTCAAGCCTTGTTTGCAATTGATTCTTTGGTAAGTCAATTCATTTTCTTATTCATGAACTTCACTTTTGTAGTTTACAATGTCACTAATTACTATCTCCGAAGAGACAAGAGAGATGATGAACTAATAAAGATGTGATGATTTACCTAATCAACAATTCTAGGCCTAGCATTCCCATCTTGCATTGCCACTACCAATATCCTTGGATCGATTCCATCAATTTAGATAGAGCATTCTTGTTGGAAGGACATGAGTGTTCACGTAAAGCTGTTTGTATTAGTTGTCTGGCAATAGAAACACGAATGGATTAGAGTTAGATTGAAAGGAAAGAAAGAACTTTGCAAGAGTAAGTACCAAGAATGCCACACTGTAAAATGACAATCTTTGTGTATGGTTGATTGAATCCCCTCTCGGTGACCACTACTCAGGTATTGCCTATAAGCTTGGCATTGCTGTGGGGATTCAAGATGAGATTTTTCCCAAGGAACGAAGAGAAGAAAATACATATCGGAAGTAAAGATTGCTTGTGTTATCTTGGTACTGGTACTTATCTTTCGGACAACATCCAGGCCTTCTACCACCTGCCCTACCACCGAATTCATTGGGAATTTCAAAGAATTCATTGGGAAACCAAGTAGGATCCCAACTTCTAGTGATAGAACAGCTTCAATGGCCACAAGCTGCATTCCCTTGCGTCGACAGCCTCAAGTTGCATTTCCAAGCGTCTTCTGTAGTGCCATTCCAAATCATTTTCTTCCCTCTTCCTCTTGCCGCCAGACAACTCAACACACAAAACCCCCTTTAATCATTTAAAAACCTTCCTTATGAGAAGAACGGAAAACGAACATGAATGTTAGAATCAGACCAACACTGGCAGCAGCTGTGACTCTAAACTCATCATAGCCCCCCTCTCTCTGCTCTCAGCCAGGTTCCCTGCTGCAGCCGCGTTCAAGCCCTGTACTGACATCTCCAAATTAAAACCCTGAAAAATAAAACAAAACTTGAGTTTGTGAGCACGCTAAAATAAATAAATTTGTGAGCTTCAAGTGGATTTGTGTAAGTCTACTACATAAGTAATGAGAATGTTTCTAACCTCCGTAGTAGCGACATGAGGCTCTGGTCACCAGCCTTGTAGTTGATTAGTCACTAGCTCAGGCTCAATGTCTATTTCCCCTATGTCACCTATACTAATAATGAAGTTATGCAAAATGCAAGTTGTTTTTATGGCAAATGTTAACTGAGTGATGGTCTCAACTTTAATCAGCTTCCTAAACATCCTCCAATGACCTTTAAGCAATCCAAAACTTCTCTCACAACTATCCTCAAAGACAACAAATAAAAGTTGAATGCTTCCCTCAATTTAGTTCCATTTGCATTTGGAAATGGTCCAACCACGGAAGCTCGTAGTATCCTAAGTCTCCAATGATATACTCCCAAAAGTGGTATTGGCCTCTTAAGACTATTGGTCCGTTAAGAATTTCACTTAATTGAGCTCTTCTGTAGAATGAACTCTTCCTCAAAATAGTTATGTCATTGCAACTTTTAGGATCTCCAACTCAAATATCCAAGAACTTTGCTTCACTATCAATGATTGCTTGCATGACAATTGAGTTATCTTTGTCCTTGTTGTAATAATCACTTGCAAAAGTGTTTCTAGGAAGTTCAACTTCGAAATATGTGCAGTCAATTGCACCATAGCAATTCAAGAAGCCACAAAAACTCTCGAAACCTATTTTTACTACTGTCAGATCTACTAGCCACACAAGAAATTGTCCTAGATGCTGGAATGTTGAGTTAGAGAACTTCTAACAATACTTCTGGACAATTGCTTTAGAAACACCAAAATGCTCTATCAAACTTTAATCAATGATAAATCAGCACTGACTCAATAGTAACTTGATTTTAGAATATTCTAGAATAATTTGATGTGGATAATGGTTACATGTACAGCATTTTATCACCGTCACCGCACAGAAAATGACAGTGATAGGATATACCTGGGTATTCTTGAATATTCTATAATCTAATTGTTGATATTTATTTAGACTAATCTTGTGTTTATAAATTCAAAACATTTTAATAATGGTCATCACATTGACTACAAAGAGTTGACTATGTAGTTGACTGATGGTTTCAGCAAAAAGATATTGTTTTCAGAACTACATTGTAGTTCAATATTTGGACATGGGTTTGTAGGTGTGATTTTGTGGCAAGGAAGCAAGAGCAACAGGAGGTCCTCCAGACAAGCTAACAGACAAGCTAACAAGCTAATGAGCTACCACCTCCATGTAAGGGTACTTTCCATGAGCTCAAAGGGTAGAGGGCTAGCTTTTGATTTTTTTTTTGTTGTTCTCTAGGCCCAATCTGTTAGGAGTGATGCAAAGAGACTGTTATTGATCAGGCCAGGGATTTCCAACCCAAAGCTATGTTTCTTATACCTGAAAAGTGTATCCATGAAATATATATATCCTCTTGTGGTTTCTCTTGTAAATAGAAGACGAGTGCTTGAGGTTGTACATATCGAAGTACAAACCAAAGAAGCAGATCAATGGATCTCCCCATGACGCATCAATCAGTAGTCGAACGAGGTGAGCAGCACATACTTGATCCTCTTCCAGTCGATTTGCTTTAAAAAACAATTTTTGTCTAGATTTAAAACAAAGTCTTCCATAAATTAGTTATTATATGTTTGAAAAGCTACTTAACATCATTCCATAAG